AGATAACAAAAATGCATAAAGTTTGAATCTTGATAATGAAATTGTTATATCTAGCTAGTTTGGGGTGTTATGAGATTTTGGTCACTTTAAGTGCATAAAGTTTAGCTCTTGAAAGTTTGTGACCTTGTTATGGATCAAGTTGGAAACTTTATCCATCTAAACATCATTTTGATTCAAATCTGAAGGTTGAAGACTTGGACTTAATGGATTAAGTTGAAAAAGATGCACTTTTGGCTATCGTTGAGACTTAAAGACTAGATCTTGTTTGTTGGGACCATTCTAATGGATAAAGTTGGAAACTTTATTCGTTATGGAGCTATTATGAACCATAAAAATGTGATATTGGCCCTTCTATCCCTTCTACGCAAGAGTTGTGATGTCTTATTGGGTTAAGAACTTAGGGTTTTGGACATTAATCACTTTATAGCCATGCAAAGTCATAAAGTTGGAAACTTTATGACTTAGGACATCATTTTGGGCTTGGATCTAAGTTTTGGACATAAGGGCTTAATGGAATAAGCTCTTAATGGAGTTTTGGGACTGGGTTGCGTACGCTGGGCATACCTGGTGGTACGCTGCGCGTACGCGGTCAACACCCCGCTTTTGGTCAACATCAGAGTATGTTGGGCGTACTCTCTTGGTACGCAGGGCATACTCCGCTGGGAAGAAATATTAACTTTTGGATCTTGACCGTTGACTTTGAATTTGACTTTTACCATGGTTGACCAAGTTTGACCTAATGGCATTTTGGGTAATATGATTTATAGTTTAAGATTTTGGTTTCTGTTAATTGTATAGGTGGCTGGTAGAGATAGCTTTTAAAGCAGTGATCGGTGCAGCTATTCCTTCAGGCTGTGAGGTGAGTTTCCTTCACGATATCTATGGGTCGAAGGCACCAATGCCGGCTCACTGGTTTATGTTGTAGTATGATGGTTGACTTCGTGACAACTGTCGGTTATGCTTGTGGTTGCTTGATGACTCTATGATTCTTTGTTATGATATTATATGGTAGTGGTAGGGGTGAAATAGACCCGGTATCCGGTTGAAATAGACCTAAGGGATTGCAAGCAACCAGATATGCTTGACAGTATCAAATTGAAATAGACCGAAGGGGATTGCAAGCATCTATATATGCTTGACAGTATACGGGTGAAATAGACCGAAGGGGATTGCAAGCACCCATATATGTTTGGTTGTATGTTTGTATGGTATGTGGTAATTTGGGGAACTCACTAAGCGTTGTGCTTACGGTTTTTAGTTTATGTTTCAGGTACTTCTGGTTCGAAGGGGAAGAGCCCGGGATGATTGTAGTGCACACACCACATCGCTCCGCATTTTATATTACTCTAATATATTTGGATGTTATTGATACACTTTGATTCACTGTGGGTTTGATGATGTTGTCTTGGATGATGGTTTTATTAATTTAAAAATCGAAATTTTTAGTCTTAATTTTTGGGACATTACATTATAACCCATGGACGTAGATGAAATGGAAAGCCATACTCATCAAAATCTCTGAACATTGGTTGCCTTATATGACTTACACTAGCCAATGACTCCCCTAGCAGGTGTAGTCAAACAATTGCTTAGACAGTTCATCCGGTAAGGTGATTCTTCCAGATGACTGTCAAACTAGGATTGGTTGGGATTGGGTAGACGGTCTTAGGACAAGTTATATATTTACATCTGATATATGTCTTGCAGAAATGATATTTTATCATTAAAATGTTATGGGTTTGAAAACCCTACGTATCTCACAAGGTTTCCCAAACCTGACCCTTATTGCATCACAGGTAGTGGAGCCAAAGTTGAAATTGCCTAGTTAGGATGTTGAGTGGAATAAAAGATAGGCTTGCATTAGTTATTTCAGGACCTTTTTATTTACGTTATAACATATGTTCAGTTATAAACAAATGACATCCTGAAGGTTTTAATAAAATAACTTTCGTTATTTCAAAAATGTTTATTTAACTGGGAACTTCTGCATTTCAATACTTAAAAGCGTAAAGAAATTTGTTAAATTGGTTCTGAAAAATGGATGATGTCACAATCTATATGTGATTACCATAAGGGTCCTTGTCACATAAAAAATAATTGATTGAATACAAAATTGATTAAATAAAAAAATGATTGAATTGAAAATTAATTAACTTTGACTAATTTGATACATGTTTCACTAATCCAAGTTCTCTAATAGTGAAATCCATGTGTGATACATGTTAAGTAGTTTGGCGCCTCTCGAATTCGCCAAGGTAAATATAAAGCAAGCATACACATATTGCATCCTCGTTCGATAAATTATGAAAATGTGTTTTTCATAAAATTGAACCACGTCTCATAAGTAGATAGATGTGTTTGTATAAGTCTCGGGGAACACATATTCCCCAAATGATCTAATACTAGAATATGCACGAATTACAATTCCACAATAAGATGTAACGTTACATCCGATAAAGAGACAATATTATCTTATATCAAACTTATAGACACTCATTTGTGACCGTAAATCCGTGACTAATTCTAATAGGATATCATATATGAGCAGGGCATGCACCAGTAGTGGGTCTCCTTTAGGTTTTGGTGCATCTAATCAATATCCAAAGTAGGTCTAGCTAAATAGTTCTCTACATGATATTAATGGTTCTAACTCATATCTTAAAGATGCTTTTTATTGCTCCCTTTAAGCACAAATCTATTTTGTACTATCTAAAGACACGGAAAGGCTTCGCGGATGAGGATACATTTCGTAAACTAAGGTGTTAGTTTGTTTTTTTTGTAAAAAAACATCTTTACACATCTTATTGTTGCGCGGCGCAACACACGCGCAACACTTTTCATCTCGCAACTGTTTGTTTTTTAGAAGTCTTCAGAGTAAAAAAAACATTTGCGCGTATTCTGTTTGGGGCAGCACTTGTATTGCCTCTTCCAACATCTTCTTATTTTTTTCTTGCTAAATCTTGATTATATGTTGCTGAAATCTTGTTGAATTCTTATTTCACCTTCTTTTTTTCGTTTTTTTTTTTAATTTTTGTTGAATTATTTTTTTCGTTTTTTTTATATTGAATAATGATAATTTTTGCTAAAATATCATTATTTTTTGTTGAAATATCATTATTTTTTTGCTAAAATGTCATACATTATTAAATTTTTGGTATTAAAAAACTATTTTCGGTATATAAAATCAGTTTAATTTAATTTTTTTTAATATCTGCAGCAACATGCAGATGTTAAAAAACAAACACGCTTCTTATTATAGTCTGCAGCCGTTTGATCCACATCTTCTATTGCAGAGGGTTGCAGAGGTGGTCTGCATACTTCATAAATTTTTGTTTCAAAAAAAAACAACCCTTAAGGTTTTGTTTTATGAAGCTTTTAGGTATTGAGAAATACCTATATATAATATTATATTTCTACATTATCCTTCATATTTATGATAATGCTTAATAATAAACTGGGCATGATAAATAAATTAGTTTTATTGTTAATGGAAAACTTTCGGTGAATCTAATCTTATTTTTCTTGTTTAAGCAAAAAGTAGTAAATACGTTTAGTAGTTATTTTATATTGTTAAAAAATACGTCAATTTTTATAGATCATTTTAATTATAATAAAACCAAACTAAAGGTTTGAGAGATCATTTTGATTAAATCATTTTTGGAGTGGTTTTCATGTTAAGACACATGCGTCTTGTTTTTATTATAGAAAGATCCACACTGGATTTGCACTATTCACTTTATGAATAATTGAATATTATTATATTTTAATGCTAAATGATTAGTCGTGTTCTAAGCTAATAAGCTTCTACAGTACTACTAGGTAGGTAGGTGTTGGTGACAAATTTTCAACTCCACTTGGTAGGTGTTGGACTTTTCACATATTTCAATATATACCAACATCCATTCACTAAAATAAATAATAAAATTACTCCTTTTTCCTTTTCGATAAATAAAATATAAGATTAAATTTGAAATCATAAAAATTGGAAAAATGTAACGGTAGAACAGTGAACTTATGTGATTTGACCGACTTGACCAGTTATATATATATATATATATATATATATATATTTTGCGTATTAGGTCATCTTATTTTTACTGTACATGTCAGTTAGGTCATTATCGTTAGTTTTTAATCATTAATCCGTTAACTAGTTATCTAAATTACACGAATGGCCCCTATGGTTTTGAATTTCTTTCATAGTTGGTCCCATACCAGCTATGATTTAAATTATACAACCAAAATTGTAACATTTCTAAAACTTTGGGGACCAAAGTCTATCATTTTAATCATCTTCCCCACCAAATCTAGTTGAAACACGAAAGCATCCCCGAAACAATTGGGTTCTTCTTCAGTTGTATGTTGTGTTCTTGGTTCTTTCTCACAAATTGATTGAATTCATCTAAAACCCAGAAACCATGTCCCTGAATTTTAGGTTTTCGATATATATTTCTTCATTTATTTGAATGAGTTGATTAATTTTTGGGTCAATTGAGTACTTGATAGCTCAAAATGTCATCGTGTTTAGGTTCAATAGCTTGTAGGTTTGATATCTATCAAATGATCAAATGGCCACGTACTAGTACTACTTCCAATAAAACAATTTTGAATCCGTACTCCCCATCTTCAACCTTATTGGAATCAAGCAATTCTCCGATTGTAATTTCCACTCGAAAGCCACGAGCACCTCGAAAACAACCAAATCAAACATACAATTAAGCAGTTGCTCTGCTGTTCATGACATGTCCCAATATTTTCAACGCCAAACACCTCACAAAACGAACCAATAACTTACCTACGTTCTCCAAACAACATCATGACCTGTTCAACGAGCTACCTGATTTAATCTTTCCATATCCGGAGATTGAAAACTCCAGGATCCTACTTCGAAAACGAAATACGGAGAAGCCCTGTTTGTTGGTCTAAGTTTCAGAGTATTGGGGAAATCGAAATTGAATCGAATGTGTTTTTGTGAAATTAAGCAGGGGATTGATAGCATCATGGGGGATTTGAATTCAGTTCTAGTAAACGATGAATCAAATGATATTGTTTCAACTAATGCCAACACTAGCCATGGTTGCCCAATGGGGCTCGGATTCGGGGTTAGAAACATAGTGAAGGCATTGAGAAACGGCAATGAAGGAAACTGTTGGAGGATTCTGATCGTGGACATGGTGGATATTACACCGGCGCCACCGGTGAAATATGAAAAATCTCCAGTCGGAAAGAAGAAGAAAAAGAAGAAAGCGGAGGAATTGATGAAGTCGGAAAACGGGGATTTCGGTTCCAGAAAGCAGATGTTGCTACTGAAATTGAATTACGATGTCGTTTTGAATGCTTGGTCGGATAGAGGGTCGTCGTTGACGGAGGAAATTTCGTAGTAGGCGTCTCCGGGAGACGATGTACATGTATGTAGTCTCTTTCTACCGATAAAGTACTTTTTAATCAAATACAAATTACAAGAATATTAGCTATTTATGTTTTAATCATTTTAAATGTTTGATTTATATTTTATATGGGTCATACTAATTTTCTAAAAAAATGTTCTATTGAAATGTAATTAAAAAAATGTTATTGTGAGAAAGAACCAAGAACCCAATTGTTTCGGGGATGCATTCGTGTTTCAACTAGATTTGATGGGGAAGATGATTAAAATGCTAGACTTTGGTCCCCAAAGTTGCAGAAATATGACAACTTTGGTCGTTTAATTTAAACCATAGTTGGTAGGGGACCAACTACGAAAGAAATTTAAACCATAGGGGTCATTCATGTACTGGTTAACAGATGAATGGTTAAAAACTAACGATAATGACATAATTGACATGTATAGTAAAAGTTAGATTACCTAATGCGCAAAAAAAAAACATAATTGGTCAAGTCGGACAAAACACATAAGTTCATTGTTCTATAGTGACATTTTCCCTGAAAAATTAGCATTTGAAATATTAGTTCATATCACCGTTGAATTATGTCAACATATCTCGACTTGATCAACTTCTAATAGACATGAACATAACATTCAAAATTTTAAATATTATTAAAACTGGTAAAAATAAATTATCTTAAAAGTTATAATTCAGTGTTTCTTAAAACCATAGAAATAGCTTATTGTAGGTCATAAACTAGTTACAACGACTCAAATTTTCAACCTTTTTTTTTAAAACATAAGTAAAACATTCAAATCCATTTATCATAAAATTCAAAGTATCAATTTGTTTCAAACGCCCATAGATTCAAATCATTGATTGTATCAGAATAGCAAAAACAATGGAAGTCCAAATCATATAATTCTCAGCGATGCGCATGCGCGTATAGTCAAGCTGAGTCATTCCCCTAAACAGCAGAACCACTTGAAAACATTGAATCAACAACTATAAGGATAAAACTTAGTGAGTTCCCTGATATATCACACACCACAATACACATACAATGCATACAAACCCCAGTCTCTCCGATCTCGTATTGATCCACATGCAAACATGTCTCTCGGCTCTCGTGTGATCTGCGTATAAACAAGTCTCTCGGCTCTCGTGTCGATCCATCTAGTGACAAATGGCTCTAGTGTCAGCCTAGTCTTCAACAATTGGTATCTAGGATCACAACTACTGTGTTGTCTACCATCAATCGTGAGTAATCTAGGCTCACAATTCTCGTGTCATTCCACCATCAACCCTTCCACATAACATATTCACATACCATACAGTCAAGCAACCAAACAATCAATTAGGCAAAGGACTATACTATCCTACCTACATAATCATACGTTACAACACCTCTACATCCTATCATACAAAGGATATATATTGTAATACATAGTATAGTGAGATAACTCACCTGAACTGCAAGCTAACGAAGCACAGCTACACTCACAAACTCATAAGAACTGGTCACACGAATCACCTAGATACCAAGTAGAGGTTAAACCTCAGTCTGCAACTTAATCCCTCAAATTCCGACATAGAGTCAAACTTTCCAAAAAGTCAACGGTCAACTAGTCAAAGTCAATGGTCAGTGCGTCGCGACCCAACTTCCGGTCACTCCGCTACCACTAGGTGACAAAATAGTCGTAATTTCCTCCATAAGCGTGGCGCGACCATCCAAGAGGTTGTGTCGTGATTCTCGGGTAATCAGAATCATTCCTGAAGGGCATCTCCAACCCTACACTAAATAGCCACTTTTACACTATAAATTGCATTATAATGCTCCAACCTACACTATACCTAACACTATATATATAGTGTTGGATTTTAGTGTAACACTAAATATAGTGTTGAATAAAGAACATATACCTAGAATATTCTTTTTAGTGTTAAATACAGTGTAATGGGTTATAGGACTTTAGTGTTTACACTATCTTTTACACTATAATTATAGGTATAGTGTAAAAATAGTGTTAAGGGTTGGAGATGGTCTTGTGCATGGCTCAAAGGGAATCCATGCATACACCTTTTCTTCTCGAAAAAGACTAGACGATCACTCAAACCATTGCAATGTTTTGGAATTGCTCATACTCCAAGAACATCAAGTCCAAAGGATCAATCCCACCCAACTCCTAGATCTAAGCATGAAATCAAATAAAGCATAGATCTTTATGACTTACCAATATTTTGAAAGGGTCCAGAAGGTGGAATCTTCAGTTGCAAATAGCTTCTCCAAACATCACTAGCTTTCTTCTTCACCGAGAATTATCCAAAACACTAAAATCTCTCAAGAAGTTACAAGGGTGGCTAGAGTTATGACCTACGAACTGGAGTTGGAAGTTAATTCTAAGAGAGAACCCTAAAAGTTAGCAACGTTATATAGGTCCCAAGACCCATGTGACACCCCCAAATTCACGGTCATTTTAAAAATTTTATTTATGCCTATTTAAAAATCAGAGTATCCTTTTTGAAAAATAGTATTGCAGAATTTGTTCCCAGAAAACATGATAAAGATGTTATCAAAGCATTTCCGAATAAATGTATTTTTATTTAAAACATTGGGATGTCATCATCAATACAGAAACATAAGCATAATGAAATATTACAAGCGTTACAGTAATTGAACTAGTGGCCTGATACTCCTTGAATCTCTCAGCAGAATGTTGATGGGTTTTGAGCATTCTAACACTCCTATGGTGTACATGCAACCCTAGAAACCTTGGATCTATGTTTGACTAAGATACATGCAAATAATTATTTTTCCAAGGTTCTTATCCTAACTAGCGTGGCATGGGATACTTGAATCAAATAAAACTAGTAGAATTACTTACCTTGTAGTAGTAGTTGATTGCTTGGAGTTTGAGAGCCTAGCACCAATAATGTGGATGCCTCAAATGGAAGTCACAAATCACCACAAACTTGGAAACTTGAGAGAATAGTCACAAACTTCTTGAAATCGGCCCTCTTAGTTTACCCACATCAACCAGTACAATTTCAAGAACCAAAAGCCTCCTTTATATAGTGTGGTGGATTAGGGTTACATCCATGTAAACCCTAATACCCATGTCTTTTCATTTCCATGAGATCCATGGGTTAAAGCTCCATGGAGTATCCATGGACTTTCCATTCAAGCCTAGCCCATTCCAAATAAGCATTAGCCCACACTATATAAATACAAGAGCCTATATTTAATTAGTCATACTTTTGATCTCTAAATTAATTCTAAATTAATTATAGATCAATACTAATTAAATAATATGATTTTATATTAATATATTAGGACTTATAATATATTAATAAATCATAACTTATACTATTCTCAAACGATTATCCATAAATTGTTTAGGTGAAGTGCAACCCAAATGGACCATGCCGGGTCGGGTCAAGTACATACCAAATATAGTTATGGACTTAGACACTATATCCAACAGTCTCCCACTTGGATAAGTCTAATAACTATAGTTGCAAGTATGACTTCAGGAACCGATCAGCAATCGTAGCTCTTTAAACTCTGTTGAACTATGAAGCGCCATTTTAGATAAGTGATCATATAATCCTCTGTTCTAGATATCAGCCGGACAAATACATGGAACATGGTCTTGCTTATTGTCCAGCATTTGTTTCCCGATTTCCGATTTGTTTGACATAGAACTTAACTGAACACATCAATTTAGTTCTGACCGGGCCCAGTACATAGGTCAAAACAAAATCATCGAGGGGCCCAGATATCGCTTCTAATCCTAGAAGGAACAGATAAACTTCGACTCATATGTTTGCTCTACTACTTGTTGAACTACACACAAAGGCACGATTTATAACATCGAGTTACCAATGCGTTTTCGTGCAATCAATGCATAACCAACTCATAGGCAACAAATCATATCTCTAGGTTTGAAGACTTATATGATATTACCGTCTCACGATCACTCGAGATAAATTCCATGAAGTGATACAAGTGAGCGTGGGTTGAATCCAATACTCAGAACTTATGAGCACTCATGAGTGTTGTAGCCCCGCTTTGTCTAACATCTTAGACCTCTACAAGCCAACCCATGACAGTCTTGATTCATATCTACTTCCAACATATGACCGACTGTGGAGAGTTTGAATAATATGATATAAACCATAACATAATTATTCTGGAAGTCAAAACATGCAAAAAGAAATAATAGTAAACGATTGACAAGAGATAGCAACACTTTACTCATAAATAACAGCTTTTATTTATCATCAAATGTCAATTACATTTTACAAATTTCAAGATTATCTAACTACTAAAACTAATATCATCCTTCAGCCCTATGCTCCGAGCATGCTGGAGATGCTTAGCCCGAGTCAGTCCCTTCGTGAGGGGATCTGCTGGGTTCTCATCCGATGATACCCTCTTTGCCACGAGGATTCCTTCTTCTATTCGATGTCTGATGAAGTGATATTTTCTGTCAATGTGTCTGGATCTCCCATGATCTCTTGGTTCCTTGGCTAAGGCAACCGCACTATTGCTGTCACAGAAAATCTCCATTGGCTCCTTTATAGCTGGTACAACTCCAAGGTCTCCGATGAAGTTCTTTAGCCATATAGCCTCCTTTGCTGCCTCGCTTGCTGCTATATACTCTGATTCACAAGTGGAATCAGCCACTGTCTCCTGCTTGGAACTTTTCCAAGTAATTGCCCCTCCGTTTAGAGTAAAGACCCAGCCCGACTGAGAGCGGAAATTATCCCTGTCAGTCTGAAAGCTAGCATCACTGTACCCTACAACTCTCAAGTCCTCACTGCCACCGAGGGTAAGGACCCAGTCCTTAGTCCTCCGTAGGTACTTGAGGATATTCTTTACCGCAGTCCAGTGTGCCTTGCCAGGGTTCCCCTGATACCTGCTAACCATGCTCAAAGCAAAGGCTACATCAGGTCGAGTACACGTCATAGCATACATGATCGATCCTACAGCTGAAGCATAAGGTATTCGA